TCATGCATCATGTCTAAAGATAGGTACAGACAAGAGCACACACAGTATTCCTTAGACATGGGTCAGTTGTGACTATACTACTAGCAACAATGACCCACAAACATTTTCATCTGCACTTCAGGGACATTTAGGAGATAACAAATGAGAAAATATCTAATAATCCATTCTCAAATATTAGACATTAGAGTTAGTAATAGGCTACTTTAATGAAAATATAATGTGGAGATGTACTAATTACAGAATATAATAAATGTTAGCTGAGCTTTCCAACCTTAATATTATGAACTGTATATTTAGAGTAGTACTGCATATAYTTTAAAGCCTGTGTACTGAATAAAATGTATAATTATACCAAAGAAATTCCTGGTCAGAAAGACTAGTGCTTTGAAAAAATACACATTAATTCCATAAACCAATTGCATCATTGTTACACGGCTAGTGCCTTATGGGAAACTGAGGCAGCATGAAGGCCCCCCTCATCAAACCCTGATTATTACAATTGGATCAGAAAGATTTGAGACATGTCACTCAGAGTAACAGGCATGAATTTATTAAAAGGAAWAGGAAAGGGGACATTCTCAAGGGAGAGGTAGGTGCTCTCAGAAAGAAAAGGGGTGGTATRCYTCTCCTGCCCTCCAGCTTTATTGAGGTTCCAGAGAAATTTCCAGAGAGCTGTACCCAAGTCCACCTTGTGACTTTTGACTGACAGCAGGATGACATCAGACTTTCAAGTCCCTACTGCCATGTCAACTTTGGGTCACTTTGGCCCAGGCTGACCAGTTCTAATTGAAACTTGTTCATTCAGATTTTATGGATAGGRAGAATTATCCTTATCACTCTGAGTTCTGGGATCTGGTCTGTTAATGGTCACAAAAGTCTCCCCTTCAGCGTAACTTGGGTTTTTTTGTTGGCTCTTGGGGGCCTGCATTTCTCCTGCAGTCTTCCTTTCTCAGGTAGTTTGCTAATGAATATAACATATCTTGTGGATTTGGGCTACGCATACCTGCATATGCATAGAATTTTATATAATTAGTGCCATAACCTCAAGTCATCTACCTTTATCCCTCTCTATACCATGGTAAGGTCTGGATTTACATTGTTTTTTTAAAAGTGAAAGCATATGGGGATCAGCACAGTGGGCCCATTTTATAGAATTAGTCCCATAACCTCACGTTCCCACTGTTCACATCTCTCTGTTCCCTATCAACATGAAAAGCTTATGACAAGTGATTGTGATTATAGTTTTCAAATAATGGAAAGAAAAATTTACAAGACAAATTGAAGGAAGAGTATTACTGTTTTCCACCTCTTCTGAAGACAAAAAGAAATAAAGGTACTTCACCTTRAGCCCAATTCCATATATGGTGAAGGAAGGTCTAGGAGATACTCTAATACTTCATTGATATATCTTGCCTGAGTCTTTAAAAACAGATGGCTTTGACAACACAGTATTTGTCCTCTATAAGGAATAATAGATAGAGACAGATGTAACTTTAAACAATCACTTGTTGCCATAAGCAATATTACAAATCAACCAATTGCAATTCAGAAGCAACCGAAATTGATTAATCTCTGAGTTCACAGATTACCCATAGGTCTGATTACCCAAGCCCTTTGCTGAAGTAGAGTTCCTATATTGACCCCTTACCAAACTAGACTKTCCTAATAGGTTTTGTGTGATCACTGTACATTTTCAAGATAATGTCTTATACTACTGAAATTTCTTAAAAGAGATTGGGAATGACCACTATGAAAATGGGAATTTATTTGACTACCTTGTGTCCAGCCTTGTGGTAAGTGGGAATGAGGAATAATAATAAATGTAGTAAGGAAAGACATTTTGTTCAAAGTGTTTTTTTAAAAAAAGACTTTTATCATTGCAGATGCGAGCACATGTCAACTCCAGGTGGTTCATTTTTCAAAAGAACATAGAGAGGTTTCTCCATGCAATTATGCCATCTACTTTTATCCCTCTCTATACCATGGTAAGGTCTGGATTTAAGACTTCCCCTCATTTTAAACCTCTGTTCAGCCATTGAAGAATCCACAAGAATACTTTTAAAACTTCTCTACAGGTCACTTTCTCCAGGATAAGATACCATGAGGCAGTCCTGCGCTGGCATTGGCAAAAAAAGGTGGGAACAAATTATACTATTAAAAAAAATCCTGCTGATGTGTTGAAATGTCACAGTGTTATAGTTATCTTTATTTCATGAAAATACAGAAATGATGGGACAAGTACCAACTGTTTGCTTTCCAAACAAAAACTGTCCTGAGTACTCAGAGGGCSGAGTGCCAACTGAACAACATTACAAAGAGAGAGCTTTTGAAGGGAAGAAATTTGAAAAAGAAACTGAGACCCATACTTTTTGGCTTTTACTTATTTTAATGATGTGATGTACTCTTGACTTTTTCATCCTGCAATATTCCTATGGGTTTAATTTGTACAATTGGACAGAACTGAAGCACTTATAAAACACTATCAAATTCCAATGCAATGCTATGATACATGGGTTTTGGGCAATTCACCCAGAGACACCATTAAATGGAATTCAAATTCCTGATGATCTGTTTTTCATGGGTGAAATTATAAAAGTTCATAGTGTATTGAATACATAGATATGGAACTGGGCATGGTGATGAGGTTAGCAAGAAAACACAACTGGACCAGAGAGGAGAAGCCTGAAGACACACGAGGAACACAGAATTAGGAATAGCAAGTATTTAAGTAGAGCCGGAAGGCAGCACATAGGTGTGAGAATGGCTACATGGCCATCGGGGAAGCTGGAGAGGTAAGCTTGAGAGAATCCRAGGGACCAAAGAAGGCTCATAGATTTGGATTTTAGAAAGATCACAAAAATAAATAAAATAGGATCTCTGACCTCAAAGAGATAGAAGTATGAAAGGGAGAAACAGTGACAGACTGTTAGAATGCAGGACAATAAGTGCAGAGAGAGAAATCAGGTCATACAATTTAATTGATTCTTCGGGTTAAAGAACAAAAAGGAAACTGTACTCTTGTGGGGTGTGAATAAAGTCTATTTCATGATTTCAATTTCTAGATAAATGAATTAAGAGTTCTTGCTGTCCTTACAGGTGATAAACAAAGGACTCTTTATCTTTGGATCGMTGATAGCCATTGGTAGTACCTACCTACTCCTGAACTACATGTCATTGAGCCCTCTGGACTACCTGAGAAGACCATGAAACAAGAATAGCTTATTTCCAGAATATGGAGCAGGTTTACCTGCAAACTCCATGTAGTCACTAAAACAAATCCCTATTTCATTAGCCAGTAATGTAAAGGTTTGATTTCTTTGTGACCAAAATTAAGTATCGAAAAATATATCTCCGTTGTGTTGTCATATTTAATTCACTATTGAAAGATAGTTGTTAGCATATAATTAAACTTAATGTTGAATCTCTCTGTGTTAATTGCAATTGCTCAGGAATAGGGGAAACATTACTTTATTTAAAGTTGCAACATGTAGCTTCCCCGTCATGTTTTACACGCTCAGACTGGGTCATTCTACATTTTAAAATTCATTGACAAAGATCTCTTTCACTTCTCAAAAAATAAGGCCCTGGAGGCCTCTGGGAAGGCACTCATTGTGTTTTTTTTTTTTTTTTTTTCTTTAAAGGACGTAGTAGGACTCACAATAAGATTGACAACACTTGAGACAAAAAAAAAAAAAAAAAGTCACAGCTTTGCCTAACATGTTAACTGAGCTTTTCATCATCTGGATGGACCTTTTCTAATTGCAAGGCTCAGATTCACTTGATAAAACCGGAAGTATAAGTGAAGTATAAATGAAGTATAAATGATTCAGCGGAGTTCCAAAGAGTTACTGAATGAATCTATTTCATTTCCTGGTTTTCAATGCTACGTATGCCCTTCTGAAGATTAAAAAAAAAAAAAAAAAGGCCATTAATGCAATAATAAGTGAAGGATAAGAAAATATTTTATTTATAAAATAAACGCTTATATAAGAGAGTAGAAAGTAAACAAGGGGAGACAGCTTTTATAGAAATATGAAGCCATATTTTATTCAATTTCAGACCCTTAGAAACAGTTTAGTAACTTGTTCTTGAACTATATACTACAACAGAACCAGCATTGAACTTGATTTTTTAAAAACGCATTTAATGAAATATTTTCTTTGGTTTTTCCTTCTTCAATAGGCCAACTGAGCCATTTAGAAGTCCTTCAAACACAATTAATTATAAAGATGTAACACTAGAAGGAGAGTCATCTAGGAAATAAAAAAAATAGGCAGTAAAATAAAATGATTCAGTATTTATTTTCTCTATTGTCAAAGACATTCTCAAGTTCTTGATACACTAATAATCCATATTTAGTATGTAGGGGAAGAAAGTAATAATTTTTCCTTTTACCTATGTTAGATCCATTGGCTGGGGCCCCTACAACAAAAGACAGATTAACAAGAGAAGAACAAACACAAACAGAATTTTATTAACATATATTTCATATATACAAGGGAGATGCTCAAAGAATGAGTACATCTCTAAAAGCTGGCTTAGAACTCCCTGGCTTATATAGCATCTTCAAAAAACAGCAAACTGCTAGAGAAGTAACAAGACAAAAGAAAAAGACTGAGTCTCTAGGGCAGTAACTTGTATAGAGGTTAGTAAAGGGGAGTTTGTTATAGAAATTCTTCTGGTGTTTCTACAGGCTGGTAAGTGTCTAAGTTGTCTCTGTGATGGACCTTCYCCTTCCTGGTAGAAGAGAGGAGGATACCTCTGTAAATGTATGTCCCAGTTTTAAGCAAATAGGTGGAAGCCAGAGAGCTTTTCTCTTCTTTCCTTTCCTTTTCTTTCTTTTTGTACCAGGGATTTACCCAGGGGTGCCTAACCACTGAGTCACATCCCTTTTTTTTCCCCTTTTTATTTTGAGACTAAGTTGCTTAGGGCATCACTAAATTGCTGAGGGTGGGTTTAAACTTGCAATCCTTTCACCTCAGATTCTAAGCCACTGGGATTACAGGTACCACACCTGGCTCCAAAGAGCTTTCCTTATATCACTTCTTCTCAACTGTCTTCAGATCAAAGTAATGCTTATGCAAAATGGACATATGCTACCCAAGAGTAGCATATTCTGGTATCCTACAAGTCTAAACAATGACCCATGGAAAAATGGCCCCTTCACTAACATTGACCATCAGTTATTCAGTGGAATAATTGATGGGCAATGATTATTAAATAATACATTTTATGAATACACTTAAACACTTATTTTCATCCTTATTCAAATGTAAGTTGTTTGCTTACTTGGAACTCCTTTTCTAAATACAGATCTCTTGGCAAATTATGGGAAAGAATTAAAAGGAAATGATAATTCTGCCATGCTCACACTTGAAATGAAATATATGGAGATACTTCTCTGCCATCAACATCATCTCCACCATGTGTGTTTCCTACTAGTGCATATTAACCCCACACCATGATTACCTTGAAGTCATCTTATTCTCTTTGCTATGATGCTTCCTAGTTGTATCTTCTGGCACTTACTATGGCAACATGTTAGTGCCATACTACATGTGTAACAGCAGTTTGTTTGTTTCAGATTGATTTTCATCCTAGAATTATTCCCTTGATAATTTAATTTGATCATATGACATGACTGAATAGGACCCAACACTACAGAGAATTCAAGAAGGTCTAGCTATTTCATACATATGTATGAGACAAAATTTACTTTTACAGTGTGCTTTGGCAAATATAGTCATTTAAAAATACATTTGAAATGAAAATTCTCAACACATTAGAAGATGATGATGCCAGATGTCCATCTTGTGCCACAAACGTTTTTTCATTATGTAAAGCACCCATTGAATTAAAAGAATTTGTCTTGCTTGTTGAGGACAGAGAACATATGGGCAACTCAGATTTCCTGCTGTGTCACAGAAATTCTGTTGATATTACATAGAATGGGAATTCCAGAACAATCCTTATAAGTCCAAATGTGCTGTCCCATCTAAGGCTCCATCTTTCATTTCTATAAAGGACGAACTTGGATTACATCGGCTTTGGACCCACTGGTTCTATTACTGTCATCAACTGATAGAGATTCGTCACTGGTGATGATAAAAACAATGGAAGAAGAATTAAAAGTCACTTTCTTCTTTGGCCTTTCCCCATCTTTCTGTGATATCACAATGGGTCTGATCTGCATTTCATTTCCAACTGCTGGTAGGTCTTTAGCGGGCTGCTGGCACCTCAGCAGTCGGGAACATAGGAGCTGCAAAAGGGATCTTCTAAACTGGGTAGAGGGAAAAAAAAAAAGAAAAGAAAGTTGATTTAATAAATAAGGGCCAAATAAAAGCTTGGCCTTTAATCTAGGCTAACATTCAAGAAAATTAGCTGAGCTTAATTTGTTGTTGTTGTTGTTTGTTAGCGGATGCAGGGTAAGCCTCAGATCTACCTACAACATCCTGGAGTTCTAGTCTTTTATTTATTAAAATTCTTATTAAATAGACCACATAGGACTATTTAATACCATATAATGTTACAAGTTCAATGTTTATGCACCTTCTGTGAGGGTGAATTTGTCTGTTTATTTAAGGGACTTTGAACATGAATTCAGTCCACAAACATTCAGTCAGCACCTTCTACTGTACTATAATCTACAAATAATATAAATAGAAAAGAAAGAGCCCTTCCTGGTAGAATTAATAGCCTAAATGATTCAAATATTCCTTTAACCTATTAAATCCTAAGTTTTCAATTCTTCAAACATAATAAACATTCTCAAATATTATTTCAAACTTACCATATGTGGTACACTTATTGCTTAATTTAAGTTTTTATGTGTTGCACATTTAGAACAATGGGTTAATTAGGTGGAGAATTTTTTTTAAATAAAAATTACTAATCAGTAGGGTCACACACAGTATCTGTGCCAAAAAAAATGTTTTCTCATATAAACATTATGGACAAGAACCATTGTCTTATTCATTCTTGTTTGTTGTATCATTTAGACTTTCTGTTTAAAGCAAGTTCCCAGGAAACAGAAACAACATCAGGATCATTTGGGAGCTTATTAGAAATGCAGACTWTTGGGCACAGAGACATACTGAATCAGAAGATGCATTTTTTACAATATTTTGAGATGTAGTATACATATAAAAAAGTTTAAGAAGCACACATCTATAGTCCATTGGTTGAAAGAAAGGGTACAACAAGTAATTGTTAGTGAATGCATTTATAATTTGACTATTGAGATTGTGGTCCCTCATTTCATAACACATAAATAAAGTAAGGACTAAGACTAGAATTTATTACTTTTTTGGCAATATTCAACATTTATTTTGGCAATATTCAACATTTCTTTCTATAAAATCCTTGATTTGGATTTTTTATCATTGAAGCTATTCTGAATTACCTCTATAAAAGTATTATATTTTTCCAACCCCTCCCCCATGGTAAAATCAATTACAAAGCTTACCTTTCTGATCATGAAGATATAAATAACTGGATTGTAWACAGTGCTGGATTTAGCAAAGAGATTAGAAACAATAGATACTGTTGGAGTGACCCGTTGTCCATAACCATTAGCCACTAAGAAACAGACCACAATATAAGGCATCCAGCAGATCAGGAAGGTAAATACCATCACGAAGCACATTTTGGCCAATTTCTTTTCATATCTTAAAATCTTGATCACCTGAATTGTCTGAAGATCTTCAACACAGCGAAGCTGTAGAAAGGAGAAAGAAAAGGGTTGAGAAATGAATCATCTTCTTTTGCTGCTTTTAATAAAATATGCAGCTAGCATTACTGGCCCTGCCTTTATGGTGAGAACTAAATGGGATCCTGGGGGGCTGACTTGTGATCCAAGCCCTGCAGCTGGGAAAGCCTTCATCTCTCTGAATCTCAGTCTCTTCAATAGTATCTTAGATTCTTTCATGGTTTTTAATACTTTTCTAATTTGTTCAGGACCTTCAAAAGACAGCATGAAAGAGTCATGATAAAATGGAAACAATTTCTCCATGATTCTTAATGGAGCTTCCATTTAGAGCATTAATAGGCAAATTCTCAAATCAGGCAACAAACCCATGTCATGTCAGGAGTTCTGCACAGTTAAGCCCACAGCTGGTCTTGATGAGAACTTAATCCCCAATGAATTCTTGCTGGAAACTACTGTGCCTTTCAATTCACTGCTAATAACTATAAACTAATAAGTAGGATTTGGTGAGGAATTTCTTTATGGTTGGTTTCATCAGAAGCTTGTTTGCAGAGAATGGCATTTGATAAAACTCAGGGTGCCTCATTCCTCTAAAATCAGCACATTTACTAGCTTTTCCTCATTAAAAGTATTGAGGAGTAATGATGTAAGTTAGAAAGTTCTTTGAGTTTCTTGGGTAACATTTTGCAGACCTTCTCTTATTGTTATGAGAAATGTGTTATTAAGGAGATTAAAAGAATATTTCTGCATTCCAAAAATATATTCTTAAGTGGTCACTGTAAGAAGTTATACTGATTTTGCTACAAAAATATAAATACTTTATACATTGATTTTAAAAGAAAAGTATCTGGCATACTATCAATACTTCATATCAATAGTTTTAAACTGGGAACTTTATTATATTTCAACAAACTCTTAAGTGAATCTTTTAATTCTAATATTATCATAAAAGCTAGAAGAAATTATAGAAATCATTAAGATGTGCTTATAGTGTTAAAGCATATATTTGAAATTATATCCTTAAATTATTGATGTCATCTAAATTTTATTTAAGAAGCTATATTCACATTAAAGTCACATATTCAGATTGACACAGAATAGAGGGAAACACAAAAAATTAAAATGTTTGATTACTTATAATAGAATTCTATTATACCATCCTATGTTAAAAGAAACTATTTTATTGCATGTGATAAGATATTTTTCTATTTTTCCTAATGCCACTCTTTGGAGGGAAAGCATGCTTCCTCCAGTTTATAGAAATGTTGTGAGGTTCTGGTAGAAGCTTTAGATTAGAATCAGACAATCTGATTTTGCTCCCAGTGTGATTTTGAACAAGTCAATTACATTCTCTAGGAATAAAGATGAAAAGAAGTTTAAAAAAGTCTATGAGAATTAACAGAAACAGAGTTTCAGTTTCATCACATGTATGTGGAACCAAATTGTGCAGTTGCCTTTGAGATTATTTATTTACATATGAAATATTATAKAAACTAATATATGCACTTTTATGTTTCTATAAAATATTTATAATCATCATTTTTTGATTCTTCAGAGTTTCAATTAGCTAGTTTATAACCATATCTGATTATCTTTTCTCCAAGCCCCCACTGTCTAGGTCCTAACAGTTTTATTTGTACTATTTTCTGGGCAAATTATTTTTTCACCATTTATCAAAGCAGATTAATTATTTATTATTTTGAAATTATATGCATGCAAGAGAAGTTAATTTAAGCAAAGGTCTGTATTTCCCCACACCCTCTTTAGTGTAAGGAGAAGGTCCTGACCAATATTTCAAATATTAGGATTTTTATTTGTGAAATTTCTATAATCATTTCTCAGTCTTTTTGACTTTTTWAAAAAATTTCATCACTCTCATTATTCCTTGACTCAGCTCATTCAACATTTTTCAAATTAACAGCTCTACTTCAKGCCTCACCTTCTTTATTCAACCATTTGTATGTATTTTTCAAAATTACTGTGGATGAAGCAAAAGCACATGTACAAATTTGTCCTAAAAAATAACCACTTAAGAAAAATTCTCCAGAATTTCCTCTAACAGTATTATCTTCCTAAGATGAACGGCTGATGCCTTGTGCCCATTGACCCCAGACACTTGAATATCTTCAAAAACTTCACACAAGCTCTTATTCTCAATGATAGCTATGTCACCACTACTATTATGAGTCACTTCTTTCCGAACAGGGGAATAGAGGAAAATTACATGTATGCACTATGTTCTATGTTGAGGTAATATCACAATCTAAAATCAAATTTCTTTAAATTTTTACCACTTTTCCTGTCTTTCCCTCTCTATGCCCTCCATAATTCATTTCAACAATAGTGATTGATCACTTGTTTCAGACAGGTACAGTTTCAGCTTCAGAGATTTGGCCTTTGTTCTTTGTTAGAGTCTGTAAACAAGTCTGGATGGCATGGCGCCTGGCATTTTGCCAGAGGGAGTGGTTTGTGAAAAAAACGCCAGTGAGCCATTAAGTGTGGAGATTCCTGATTGGTTGACTGCTAGTTTATGTTAATTAAGATAAGCTGTGTGGAATGTATATATACCGCTCCGGTCCTACAATAAACGGCTCCCACTCCAGCTGTATCAATGAACACAAATTGTTCGTCACCCACCGGTTATGGCGCCATCCAGACTTGTTTACAGACTCTAACATTCAGCTCTTGAGAATCTCACTATTGGGTTAGGGTGACAGGTGTACAAACACTTGCTTTAGTATAAAGGAGGGAAGCAAGGAGGGTTATGAGATGCACCAGGCTGGATAACCTGTCCTGAGGGTGAGTTAGAGCAAGAAAACCCTGATTGCAGCCTTCTGGGGAGAGGAGAAACTGGCCAAGTAAGGAGGAGTGATGCTATAGAGGGAGGGAGGGAGAGGGAGAGGGAGAGGGAGAGGGAGAGGGAGAGGGAGAGAGAGAGAGAGAGAGAGAGAAAATGTGCTAAGGCAGAGAAGAAAATACCATGTGTCAGGTTCTGGGAACAAGAAATGCTGCAATTAGCTGGAGGTGGCAAGGAGAGGAGTGTCAGGAAATAAGGCTGAACCAGTATTTAGGAGATGCCACACAAGACCTGCTAGCCATACTCAAAGGCTTCATTTTCAATCATGAAAGCAGTGGAACCCCTGAAGGTAATATTTAAGAACAAGTACTCTGTTGGCAGTGAGCAGAATACAGGTTAGAGGAAAGCAAGAATAAAGGAAAGAGAACTAAGATTCTTTTGAATTGAGTCTGTGGCAGTGAGAGTGGCAAAAATGGATATATGGGAAAATCTAAGTAGAATAGATAAGAATTGATCACTAGTTGGGAGTAGGGGAAGAGATGAATGACAGATAGTCAAGAAAACTCCCTAATTTTTGGGTTAGGTAGCTAGGAATGGTGATCATTCAGTGAGAAAGAGAATGGAGTATAGGGGATTTGGTAGAAAAGATGGCAGATTAATCTCTGTATATGTTGAATTTGACAAGCCTGTGGACCATCGCAATGAAGGTGTTCAACTGAGTGTGAGGATTGAACAGAAATCAGAAGAAAGACCTAGATTAGAGATACAAGTTTTGAAGTCATCAAACTTTTGTTAGAAAAAAATCTTGGCAGTACATGAATTTACCCAAAGCCATTGTGTAGCAACAGATGAGAACAAGGCAGAGAATGCTGGGGAGAAACAAGAAAGAGAAGCTCTTAAAGGAGCCATAAGAAGATGGGGCTGGAGAGTCAGGAATGAAGGTAGCAGAGAAAAGCGTCCTTGAATCAATAAGGGGAGAAAGTCATAAGTAAGTAGACGTCATCAACAGTTTCATATACCACAGATGCCAGAAAACAATATAAATAAGAAATGTGCCCATTGGATTTAGGAGATAATCAGTGACTTTAAATGAGAGCTATTTCAGAGAGTGTGTTAGAGGAAGGAGGTACAAATTTGCAAAGAGTTGAGGAATAAATACTGTATGAATTTACTCAGCTACTGACTCCTTGAGCTACAACAGATTTATTTCTCACAGTTCTGGAGGGTAGGAAATCCAGGTTTAAGGTGCTGGCAAGGCAGGTTTCATTCTGAGGTCTCTTCTCTTGACTTGCAAGTGGCCGTCTTACTATTCGCTCACCCAGAAGGGGAGTGAGAGAAAGAACAGGCATTTTGTTATCTCTTCTTATAAGTCTCACTCTCATGACTCGATCTAACCCTGGTTATTTTCCAAAGGTCCCACTTCACAGGGGGTTAAGTCTTTGACATCTGAATTTTGGAGGGCACAAGGCAGGAGAAGCACATTTTAGATGCTCAATAAATAGAGGTTAAATAAATATTTATTGAGTGACAATATGGTACAAAAGTCACCAGTGGTTCTTTGAGTTAGAAGTGAAAAGAGAGAAAGTAATAGGGAGAGGAAGCTGAGAGTAAATTTTGCTTTTATTTTAAGTTAGTATAGCTATATGCTAAAGAGAAAGAGATAAAAAGAATGGAGAGATTGAAAAGTTAAAAAATAAAATTATTACACTTGAGAAAAGTCCCTAGGAAAGAGAATGTAATGGGAATTTAGAATTAGCTTTGTCCTGGGAGACTTCCCCTGTCACTCAACAACTAAAGAGAGACACTTAAGAAATAGTGTTAAGGGAGTTCATAACCAACTTGAATCTATTGTATGAAATATGACATGTCAAGAGCTTTGCAATGTTTTGAACAACCAATTAAAAAAAAAGAATAAAAAAATATAAAAAAAAGAAATAGTGTTAACATAGAGGTTTTGATAAAGGAAGGCAGGGAGAAGTCCTTGCTAATTGGCTTTATTTCTTCTTTTTTTAATTTTTATTTATTTTTTTTAATGTTGGTTGTTCAAAACATTACATAGTTCTTGATATATCATATTTCACATTTTGATTCAAGCGGGTTATGAACTCCCATTTTACCCCGTGGCTTTATTTCTTCTAACAAATAACAAGCACAATTATTTAATGATGAGGGATAATCGGTAAAAAWTTAAAATGAAAATTGGTGATTTTTAATAGCCATGGTGTGAGAGAGTGCACCTATAGGGATACAAAGATTGCTAGACAGGCCTCAGAGGACATCTGAGTACTTTTTTTTTTCGTCTAGCAACTCTCTACATTTTGACTATAGCCTTGGRGAAAACAATTGGAATGGTCCAGGGATTTTTTTTCCCCAATGAAATGGGTGTAAATAAAGAAAGTAAAAATGTAGGACTTGAGGGTAATTAGTTAGGATTTACAGTGATGCCTGGAACTAGGTTTGGTTTAAAACAAAAGGTGAAAGTTAGAGGTGTTTGAAAGAGTGAGCAAGAGACTAGAGTGTTCTGATGAAAGAAGAGAGCAGATGGAGTAGGAAGAAGCAGTAGTTAAGGAAACCATCCATGGCTGAAGTGGGAGACTGGGACATGGAGCATGCCTAGACTGTTGGTTAGTTCAAATGTGCCTCTGCTGCCTTGCACCATGTAATCTATTTGTGGTCAGCTCTGGTCCTTCATGGCTCTCATGGGATTTCCAGTGTCATTCTGTAATAGTGATTTCATAGTGATCTTTGGGGGCGGGGGGGGGGAAATCACGAAAAGCATGGAATTCTCTTTTTAGACTTTCTAAATTCTAAGAATGTCCCACAATGTAGGGCTGTGTTGTTGTTGAGTTTGTCTGTCCAGAATCCCTTTCTGTCCTTCTTTTGATGTGCAGAAAGTAAGTGTTATTCCTCATTTATCTTTTCATGGAGTGACTCAGAGTGCAAAATTCTGCCAAATGGAAAGTCTCCTAGAGTTCCTGCAACTCTGGGCAACTACCAATCATGTGGGAAGTGTTTGATTTTTTTTTTTAACATCCAAAATATTCTGCCATGGACATGTTTTTGAGGAAAGACATTTGTGGACTTCAACTCACCATTCGAATGGAATATAGAATATGGCCATAGCAGTGGGCTATGACACCCACAGGCACCACCAAGCAGCCAAGAAATAAGAAAAGCACAAAGGAGGAATCGTTGGCATCTTTGGATTTCCACTCCACAGTGCAGCCTAGTCCATGGACGTCTAGGATGTATCTGTTCCAGCCCAGAAGAGGTGCTCCTGCCCATGCCAATGAGTACAGCCAGATGTAGGTAATGGCCCTCCAGGCCCAGGAAAAATTGATCACTCTGGCATGGACCACACGAATRTAACGTTCATAGGCCAGCACAGTTAGGGTGGTAATGGAAACAATGCCTGCAAGAAGAGAAAGTAGAAAAGTATAGCATACTGCAGGGGGAAATCAGACATAAGAGGAATAACACATTCTTAACTGGAAATACCATATGGAATGTCTGAGACCAATGGAGGGCTCTAGAAGTTAAAAGATCCAAGAGTACTAATGCCCCGGATTCCCCCAGGAAATTAAATCAGATATGTATTTATTTCTAAAAGAAAATGTTGAATAGAAAATGGCCTGTGAATTGTAGTGGGACAAAAATAAAAGCCCTAAAAATCAGCCCTGTCCTGATGATGTCACTATTGTATCAAATTTTCTGCAAAAGAGAAACTAGAGTGAGACAACTATCTCTTTTAGTTCTGCCTTCTCTCTGCTATTAAAGTCAAAATGGGTTCCCCAAAGCTCAAAATGGCCAGTCAGGGTGAAATTGTTCAAAGGACTCCTCAACCTCCTCACTAACAGATGTCAGCAATAGGAAACTTTCACCTGCAAGGCTTGTTGACGAGGTGGGGGAAGTCTTTGCTCTCATGGTCTTCATTTATACCTCTGTCTTACAACAAATGCGCTTTAACAATATTATTTATGTTTTTTCTCTGTTGCTCCTCAGAGAGTGATTTATTTGCTCAACAAGCRCCTATTGAGCATCTACTGTGTATCAGCTACTGCACCAACACTGGAGGTCCAAAGATGACTAAGAAGCAGAGCTCCAGATGTCTGAGGGGAATGTATGCTACAATTGTGAAACAACATATSGGAGTCATAAAAAAAGGAAAAATCTGTGCATAAGGCAGGAGAAGCACATTCCAGGAAGAATGAAGAATCAGGTACCAGAGAATGAAGGTGTAAAATAACAGGAAGAGTCCATTAAAGATGACAGTATTCATAGATGTCCTAGATGAGAGGAGACAGAGAAATTAGAGAGGCAGAGGTGGCCACTCTGAAAAAGGCTCATAGTTTCTAGATGAGATTTTTTTTAAAAAAAACTTTTCCTATATGAAATAGTCAATTATAAATCTGCTACTCTCAGTAGGAATGTTTGTACACTGTTTGGTGGGATAGAAATCAATAAAGGCATTGTTTCTACTGTTAAAAATAAATAAATCTGCTACTCTCTTGTCCTATTTAAGTATGAACATAACAGTTAAATTCTCTTCCTTCTTGAGAAAAGATGAGAGAGGAGGGGAGGAGTAGGGAGGATAGGAAGGGCAGCAGAATAGAATAGACAATATGATTGATGTATGTACATTCCACGTATGTATTATATGTTAAAATACATTCTGCTGTCATGTATGACTAAAAAAAAAWTAAAAATAAATTTWAAAAAATTCTCTTCCTTCTTTTGCTTCAGAAAGGATACTCATTCCAATAGTAGTATAGAACTTGAAACTTASCCCAAGGCTATGGGAACCAGCTTGAAGGCTATTGCCAAGTAGAGGCAGGATATATGTGCCCCAGGGTATCATTAAAGGCAATCAAAGTGAAATCTGGGTTCCGGAGACATTTAGCAATTAGTATCAACTGAATCCATCTGCTTATTAAATGAATGAAATGAAGGAGAGAGTAAAAAAATAACTTGAAAATTTCTAACCTGCCCAATGAGTAGAGAGTGATTATATTAACCAAGATAAAAGTTACAAGGTATATGAACAGATATGGGGAAGAAAATGAAATTGTGAGTTCCCTAGAACACATCAACATAAGTATTTGTTGGACAAGTGGATGCAGAAAAGTTGAAGAAAATTGGCTCTAATAGAGAATAAGACTGGTCTTCCAGAAGCAGGTAAGAGTATGTTGGGGGATGGGGTTGCTAAGAGGCCTGGAGCAAGTCCAGCTCCTAATAAGTAGCTCTGTAMTTTCTGACAAATCATACAACCTCTTTAGGCCTTAGTTTTTATTTTCATAAAATTGAAGGTCCATTCCCATTATAAGATTATAAGATTTTGTGATTCTGCTATTATAAAAATATGAAATGAAGAGGCACTTGACTCAGAAAGAAACTGGTAAAACAGTTAATATTTCATTTATACATGATAGATTTGTTTGTTTTTGTTTTGGGGGTACAGAGAACAACATTATTCCCAGAGTTCAATATACATGTTATACAATAACTATTCATTAAAAAAATAAAAGAATGTTTACTAAATAGTGAAATAGAAGAAGGTTGAGTTTTATAGCACAGTGAAAGAAACACTTTATARAGTAGTGATAATAGCAAATAATGGACTTAAATTCAAATTATAGTAAGTAATTGTGAGGACAAGGAAAGCATCAAATTAGATGTTCTGCCTTTGGAAATATATTTTTACTTTATAAATTTTTTATCTAAATAGTGATATCCTTTCTTTATTTGTTCCTAGAAGGATATCTAGAAATCTAAAGTTGGTGACATAATGACTCTAATGAAACTTTTTTATTAAAATATAATGGCATTTACTTTTATAATTCACTTTAAATGCCAAAACATGGTTTGGCCTTCAACTTTAAGTTAATTTACAATGAATATTATTTAGTCCTTCATAAGCAAGAAAACATTACAAATGATTGCACTATTGTACAWTATTATATAATTTTAGTAAATCTCAATGCATATTAAAGATAAATAAATGAATTCTTAGGGTTAGAGCAGTAAACTGATATAATAAGCTTGTGTGAACTATAATTACATTAACTTATTCATTCATTCATTCATTTAGTTATTAACTATTGCTTATCTACCTGTCAATTATTATTCTAGAAAATACATATAAAGAGATAAATAAATCCCTCAAGAAATTTGAAGTCTAGTGATAGAAAGATAATTTTGAAAACAAGTAAATAATTAGTGAAATATTAATAAGAAAATATAATAAAGAGATAGAAAGTAATATAAGGCATGGCGGAAGAATACAAATTAAAGGATGCAATAGTATTGTCAGGGTGCCAGAGCTGAATATGAAAAACTCAGCTTTGTGATGAGTTTTTTAGAATAGTTTTTGCCCATAACTATGTGCCAACAAGCACAATAAATTTCAAGTGCCTGATTGAAATCACCTATATTACTAATCATGACAAGTTAAAACCAAACTAAGAAGAATGAACCTTGAATTTCTGAGGCCCTTCTGATAGCATGGGTGTATAAATGAATGACAATGGGAGACTGATTTGGTTTTCAAGGGTTATCCATCTGAAATTATCTCAACTGCATCCTCCTTGCAAAATATGCAGCAGCTTCCCTCTCCTCATGAACAYTTTATTTGGGTCCTCAGTTAAAATTACTTGCTGTATTTTATTTAGTTTCCAGAACACAGCTTGGGAAGATGAGAATGAGTGGACTGTTTTACAGCAACTTTCTTTACACACACATTTTAGTCAGCCTGGGATCCCTTTTATTCCATGTGTACATCTGTTTCCCTTAACACTATGAGAAGAAAAAGGAAAGGTAACCACTACAACAGGGCACTAATTATATACCAGGCTCCAGGATAATCATTCTACATATGGTACCCCCCCTTCTGGAAAAAGAGGTCTGTGGTTCAAAAGGGCTAAGGCACTAATAGGTGGTGGAGACAGTTTTGAGAATCTGGTACTKATTTCAAAATTCATGATTTTGCCTTTACACCACCTTCTCCTTTCCCACTGATTTCACTAGGGGTGAAAGTAATGTTCCTATTCTTCTGAAAAAGCTGCAGAATAATCAGGTATTTATGAAGTGCCCATCACTGTGCGGAGTAGGTCCTGTAAAAGGAATTAGAGACGCATGGTCCCTACCCTGGAGGAGACTACAGTATTGTATTTTAATAAATCCAAGACTAACTCATACACAACATTAGAGGACAATGTAAGAGAATACATTGTTAAATGTCTGCTGACAGAACAAATCAGAAAAAGTAGATCCTGGTTACTGTGTTGTGGGGGTGGCTTCAGTAAGAGATGAAAGTTTAAAAGGGCCATAAAAATGACAGAATGGTTGTTATAACCAGAAAGAATCAGGCAATCATTTCTGGCTAGAAGAGCAACTTCTACAAAGGCAAAGTAAGTTGCCTTGAATTCTTGCAACAGTGCCTTGGTCTAGGCATGGAGCTAAGCCCGAGAGGTGAGAAGGGGTGGTGAGAAGCTGATCATATCTCCCATGGCTCTCAGTGGTCTACAGCAGGAATCTTCAAATTGTTTTCCTAGCATTTCCCCTAGTCAAATTTTGAAAAACAATGTACATACTAAGATATTTAAAGGGTGGCATCTATATTTTTAAAAWATTAAATTTAAAGTATTATGTAATATAAATATCAGCATTTTAAGATAAAACTATTATCTGACTCTTATAATTATATCCAAATGCATCTAAGGATTCATAAATATATTAGTTATTTCATATACATATTTTATGTGTTTATAAATAAATATATATAACAATGACCAATCATTTAAACTTACATATTCATTCCAATTTTCTCCTCAAATTTTTATCTCAAAGAAACATATTGGTGTGGCTGAGAGATTTTAAATTATTTGTTGAATTCTGCAAAGTTGTACTTTGAAACTGAAATTTTAAAATTTTCTCTGCAGTATGGCAATATGTAAATCAATGGAAGTGTAACTGATATGATTCTGCAATCTGTATACGGGGTAAAAATGGGAGTTCATAACCCACTTGAATCAAAGTGTGAAATATGATATATCAAGAACTATGTAATGTTTTGAACAACCAATAATAAAAAAATAAAAATAAAATAAA